TGTTCTTACCTTGAGCATCACCACCTGGCTCCAGTGCAGATCCCTCAGCCTACTGGCACGGACTTTCTAGCTTCCTCCACTGATCTTTGGGCCTTTCCAGTGCAAGTCCTGGATACAGACTTGCATGAGACGTTGTCATGGGCTCTAGGCCCCCAGAGGGACTTGTGGAGGACATTGTCGTGGGCTCTAGGTCTTGAGCTGGACTCGTGGAGGACATTCCTGTGGGATCCAGGCCCTCAGCTGGATTCTTTGCATCTCTAGTGTATGGACAGATCTCTCGCACTCTTCTGCATTTGATTCTTTAGGTGAATAGTATAAAATAATTCTATGAATTATGTGTCCCATGTTAAATTTATTCCCTTGTAAAGCCTGACTACAACATGTATCATGCACAAAAGCCAGAAGCATGCAAATATATGCTCCCATGCATACACATGATGTGTATGTGTTGGTTTTTGTCCACAGTTCTTGGCTCATAACTCCCTCTCCAAACCAGGACACAAAATCTAGAATTTCTCTTCCCTTGGTTGAGTCACAGAACCTAAAGCTATACCTTAGTGTTCCTCTGTGTTTCTGCCAGGATTTGGCCATGAAGACATTCTCTGACCCATCTTGTGTAACTGCGGAGCCTAAACCTCCATTTAAGAAACAGTGCTGCCCCACGTCAGGACCAGACTGAATGGACAGGCCTTGTTGGACCTCCCCGCCACTGTTCATGCCAGAGCGTGAACCTTTCCTCTGGGTCACATCTCTGTGCGGCAGTCCATGCTTCTGTCCTCACTCAGCAGCAGCCCGCACAAAACACTCTTCCAGAGAGCTGGGCACTGGGAGGCTCCCAGAGGCTGGTGTGACCAGGAAAGTGTGGCAGTGCTGGGTCCAACTCTCACACCTCATCGTATATCTCTCTTCATCTCTATACTTTATAATAAACCAGAAAATGTTTTCCTACATGTAGTGAGCCCTTTTTGGTCCTTATCTCGTTCCAAGAAGTTTATATTTGTGATCCTAACGATACGTCATTAGAATCCCACCAAGTTAATTCCAATCTACCACTCTTGGAGCAACGTATGGTGAAAAATAAAGACACTAAACATATTCATAATTATGGGGAGCCAAGGGGTCCTGAATCCAGCCATGGTGATGACTATCTAGAACGAAGGCCTCGACCCAGGGCCAAACCCAGGATTTATTCCGTCATGAAGGAGGAGTGGCTTGAGGATGAGTGACTGAGAATGGCAGGAAGTAGGGAGTACTGTGAGCTGGGCTAGGGAGGAGGCCTGCATTTACCTCTGTGATATGCAGAGACGAGTATGCAGAAAAGTAATTTGCATTATACTGTTGAGATAGTAGCTAATGTTTTGGGGTCCGGTGCTTCAGCTGTGATGTGTAATCTTTCAAGCCCCAGGAAGTCATAGCCTCTATCTTGAGGCTTGATCCCAGCCAACAGTGTGGAGCGCTGGCTCTTCATCCTGTCTTGACTCAGCTCTTATTAATGAGCAGCAGGTGTGGATTATCAGGGAAACACATGTGCTGTCTTCAAAGCCTACCACGAGCACCTCGGCTAGACCAATATGCATTGCTTAAGGCCAATTGAAGGGATAGGGGAAAGTCCTACCCAGCTCTGTACCTATTAATACATGGAAATAGGGTCAGGCACAGCCAAAATGGAGACAACTGCTCTTTTTTCAAGGAGAGTCACCCAGTGGTCCTCCACACTAAGGTCTGTAAAGAGATTACATAAATTAATCGAGCCTGAGGAAGGGGTTGCAGAAAACAAGACAAAGCCAGGCGTAGACAACTGGGCTTCTGACCGGCAACTCAAGCGCTTGGGAGTGGGGCCCAGCCCCAGGGAATGATGCTATCTCCAGTGAGAGCGCATCAGAATGGATTAGGGGGCGCTGGGGAGATGGCTCAGTACAATAAGCACTTTCCTGGCAAGTGCAAGGGCCTGAGTTCAATCCCCGGTTCTGCCAAAAAGAAGAATTAGGGGACCTGGGCTGATACCCCCTGCAGAATTAGTTGTGCTTGCTTGCTGTGGGGAAGTAATTCTTTTTTGGAGAGTGAGGAAAATGACCTTGACTGCTAAGCTGTGAGCGCACAATGAGTTTGTCATTCCCTATTTCTGGCGGCTGTCATGGTCGGGCCACTTCTTTTTTATTTTATTATTTAGATTTTTGAGACTGGCTTTCATTAAATAGGTCAGGCTGGCTTTGAACTTGTGATCCTCCTGCCTCAGTGTTCCGAGTGCTGGGATGATGGATCATCACACTGGGTGTTTCCAGGCCACCTTGCTGAAGTGTCTGACCTGGGAACTCCCACACTGCTCTGTCTTAACATTCCTTTCTTCCTGGTTTCTCTCATCCTTTCCCCACTTTTACAGGCTTAGGGCAGGAGGCTCCACGAGAGAGAGCTGGCATGTCACTTCAGCAGATACAGCATGGCCTTTCCTACCGAAGCCCCACACTCAGGACAGGCCCGTACCCTCACCTAGAGCATGGTTTATACGCAGAAAGCTCCCCACCACCCATGGCAGAGAGGCACAGGGCTGGGGCTGGGGGCTGGGGGTGAGGCACTGCCTTCTCAACAGCGTATCTTCTTTCGGAACTCGTCAACAGAAAACAGCAACATCTGTTCCTCAATAATTTATTTTTTTAACATTAACTCTGTGAAGTTACATTAAGGAAAACTGGAAAAAATCCAAAGGTAGGCAGCATTCTATGACAACTAAATGTGCAAATTTCAAATATTCTTTTTAAGTATAAATAATTCTGTTTCTTCACAATTAGATTTAAAATATGGGTTGACACAAAATACTGAAAGAATGACATGGAAACACTGGAGTTTATTTCCTATCTTTGGAAAGACACCAGGAAGATGTAGGGTGGGAGAGGAGACATCTAAATAATCAGGAAAGGCGAGGCAGTTATGGGCTAGAGACTTTTGGATTGAGTCTTAATTTCAGACTCAATTCCCTTTCCTGGATCCCTGAGAAAACAGGACCCTACCACAAAGCACACAGAGAAGAGCGATTCGGAGGCAGACAGAAATGTCCTCAGCTCGTGATGACGGGGCTTGCCCTGTGGCAGAGGCATTGCCAGACATGGGATCCTCCCGGGCACCCCCGTAATACAGCAAATGAAAGCGTTATGGAAGGGCTCCCTTCGCTCCTCTCTGTTCCCGAAACTTGTCCCTGCTCCTTCTCTATCTCCTGTCCCAGGATGGAGCACCAGAGGACAGTTTCTGCCGCGCAGCTGGAGGGCTCAAGATGCTGCGTGAGACTCCCAACCTCACTCTGGAAGCCATCCCTTCTTTCCAGAGTCATGGCAGCAGTGAATCCAAGAGGCCAGCCCTGCCCTCAACCATGGTCAAGCACTTGCTGGACTCCAGAAGGTTCCCTAAGCAAATACATTAGACCATAGGGATAAGGTGGAAGAAACACTTTCTCTTAAATAACTGATGTTTGCAATACAATAAATAAAGTGAATTATACTGATGCTGCTAGGGCATTTCAATATAAAAAAAAATCCCTCATACAGTAGGCCATATTACCCACGTATAATTTGTACACATAATAATTCAGAGAAATTTCTTTAGAAGGAAGACAATGGTAACCCAGAGTTGGGCACTGTCCCTCCAAAAGTGTTCCTATGAAAAAATGCATATAGCAAAGAGCAGCTTGCTGGCTTTTTCCCCTAGAAATGTTCTATTCCTTGCTCAGCACACAGGCAGGCAGCAGGGAAGCCCTGACTCCTGCCCTCTCTGAACAGGTCCTGTTTCCTGAGCTCCCCCGGCTCTCTGGAGACTCCTGAGCCGGCCGCAGGACCCAGCATCTCATCCTGAAGATGCCGAGGGAGGCCGTTAGGACGGCTCGCGGCCCATCTGTCCTTTCCCTTCTCTCACAGAGGTGGCGGCACTTCTGAGCAGGCGCACACCACACCAGCACGCGTCCAAGTCTGGCGGCATCAGCTGCCGCTTGGTAGGAGACAGCAGCTCCGCTGATCCTGACACTGCACCACCAGCCTGGAGCTGCTCTCAGGCTGGCCAGGCCCAACCCGAGCGTCACAGGCACCATGAAGAGCTCATCTTCCCTCCTTTGCTTGAAGACACGCTCCAGGCCACTGTCCCAGGGCTGCTTCTGGTGGCACCCAGGGGTCGGAGTGTAGCACCATGCCGGGCCCTGCTTCCCTTAGCCATACATCTGCTTGAACTGGAAGCACTCGTTACAGTAGCCGTTGCACTTGGAGTTGCCAAAGTGATCGCAGGCTGGAGCTCGGCAGCGCTGTTTGGGGGGCTCTTCCGGAGCAGGGTCTCCCCGGTGGCCCACGCGCTGGCTGAGGTGCTGGCACTCCATGCAGAGTTCCTCGCTGCGGCAGGCCAGGATGTTCTTGCAGGAAGCCCGGGCGCACTTGGGCCTCGAGGTGCCCTGGGTGGTTCGAGGCAGGTCTCTGTGCTGGCTGGATCTCTGTGTGGGGAAGAAAGAGAATGCTGTGAGGCCTCGGGACAGTACAGATCCTACCCTGGGCCTTATGCTGAGCGAGGGAGCAGTGGGCTCCTGGGGGGGAGGCCTCTAAGTGGTGCTGGGGATTCATAACCAGTGCTCTAATAAGATCGCTCCCTCCCCTCCGCACACAACAGGCGACCTCCAGCTATGTGTGCATCCCTGATTCGTCATTAAGCGGGCTTCGGCCTCAGCTCAGCTCAGCTCAGCTCAATGATTAAAGATTACAGAAGAAGCCTGGTTTGTAGATGTCTGGGCTTCCGCTAGAAACCAAAGATGTTTCTGATCAATGCCTGGCTTCCTGGCACTTGAAGAGGTGTTTTTCTATGGCTTATGCCACTGGCTTTTTACAAGTGAGCTCTTAGCTCCACTCAGACCATGCAAATCGACAGCAGGGCTTCCAACCTGGGCAGTCACAACAACGTGGATGCGTGGCCAAGTCCTGCAGTGGACTGTGCTGAGCAACCCTTTGTCATAAGGAAGCTGAGCCTTGGGGCACAAAGCCCACCTGCCACATCCCTACGAGAACAGCCCAACTCAATCCGGGAAGCTCCCGAGGGTGTCTCACCAGCTGCTCTTCGGTCCTCTTGGCCTCCTGAAGCCTCTGACTCTGCGCTTCGATGAAGCACCTCTGACAGTACCCTTCGAACATGGTGCTTCCGAGGGTGCCACACTCCCTGCCCAGGCACGGAACGGCATTCTGGAACCTGGAGCCCGTGGGACTGGCCTTCCCTGGGGCAGCAACAATATCTATAAGAGAGGGGATGCCATTCAGTACCACAGCCGAGCCACACACAGACGGACATCGTCTTACGCATCCAGCAACATGCCAACATGATGACTGGGACAGCCCTGGCTTCACACATCTCTCACTCTGACCCTGCCACATGCATCTATCACAGGGACAGAGCCCACAGCAGATGCGAGCTGCCCACCCTTCTGTCGAGTTCGAAGCTCCTAAGCCACAAATGCTTCCCCAGTGGAGACCTCCCTCTTGCCAGCTACAACTGTTCAGATCAAGTCTATTATTTTATTTATTGCTTATTTCCTGGTTTTCTTGAGACAGGGTCTTGCTGCGTAGCCCAGCCTGGCCTGAGGTTGTGACAGTCATCCTCCCTCCACTCCCAGGTGCTGGGATGTCTGCCGTGCCCACTGGGCAGTTTCGCAATTAGATACCAAAGCTGCAGAAGTCTAGTGTAAATGGAATCCTACAAATGGCAATGGCCTTGTGGAAACAAACTCCCTCTACTGGGGTCTGGGCAATTGGGCAATTTGGGGTCTGGCACACAGACTGCCCATTGGATACTTGCTCCTACACCCATGTGCAGCTGGCAGAGCCACCACAACTGTCCCCAGGTGCCAGCTGTGGAAGAGCGCCGAGGATGCCAACATTTCCACCTGATGGCTGGGACCTTTCCTGAAGCCCAGAACCAGCCCCCTTGGGATAAAGCTCTACCCTGCACTCACGTTTGTTTTCTTTGTACTCAATGAAACACAGAGTGCAGAAGCCTTTGTTTTCCGGAGTCCCGAAATACATGCAGCCAGCTTTCCTGCAATTGCTCGTCCCAGGCCTGTCCCCTGGAGTCCGTTCAGCCTGTGACAGGCAGCCAGCAGCGGGGTCATTTCCAGCTCTGCGACAAGAATGTGGGGACAGGCTCTGCATGAGCTGCGAGGGGTCGGACTTGGATCTCTGGTGACAGGAGGGAAGGACGCCAGAGCCGAGGCTGGAAGAGGACTCTGTCGTAGTCCTTTTGAAGCAAGAGCTGCAGATCCCATTAAATGTCCTGGTGGCATCCTGGAGGCAGGCCCGGCACTTTCCGGGGTCTAGGTGCCGGGTGGCATCTGCAGCCTGGCTGGCACTCACCTGCCGAGCACTGTAGCAGCGCTCACACAATCCATTGTGCTGCACATTCAGCGTGAAGGGGCAGCCAGGGCTCCTGCACTTCATGGCGGTGGTCTCGCTGAACAGGAAGAGGCTGGGGGCTGTTGGCGGGGCTGAGTGAGGGCCACCCGCTGGCTCCTCAGGGCGCCAGCCTGAGGGCTCCAAGGCCTCTCCCCGAGATGCCCCGAGCACCACGCCAGGGAGCCCTTCGGGGCCAGGCTTGGGGTTCGGCTTCAGGAGTTTGCTTTGGCTCTTGGGGCGCCTCGTTGAGCACTCGTGGCATAAAGGCTGGGTATTCACAGACATGAAGAAAGGGCAGTTGGGGGTTTCGCATTTTACATCCATGAGAGAAAGCTGGGGTACAGCGGGCTCTGGAGGGTTCTGGGGATGCGCCCCTCTCCTCCCCTGCTCGTTGTTTTCCTGCCATTTCTTATACTCGTGCTGAACAAGTTCGAAGTAGTCATCTACCAGATTTATTTCTTTGGGTAAGTTAGCTTCATCCAACCTGATAACCAAAATAGGAGAGGATTAGACTGCACAAATTGGCAGGGAACACTCTCTGGCATTAGCTGCTCCAAGCTTTCAAGGACCCGCAGCAAGCCCTGAAAGGCAGGCCTGGGACAGAACAGGGTCCAAGATGTTTTCTAACATGTTCTCCGGGTAAGCACGAGGTCATTTAGTCTAAGACTCTTTAATTCCCAAATCATAGTCTCGCTTATCAATTCTGTGTATCTACAAAAAATCATGGGTAATTCAAAATATAAAAAAGCCCCTTGGGGCTAGAGACTAGTGGTGGTAGAGCACTTTCCTAGCACGTAAGAGACCTTTGGTTCTGTCCCTGGCATCACAAAAAAAAAACAAACAAACAAAAAAAAAAAACCCAAAGAAAAATAACAGATAAATGCATAAAAACATGTCAAGGGGTCTTTGCGAAAAGCTCTCTACTTCTTATCATTCGATTACTCCTTTAGAAAGTAATTCTCACTGTCTAACATCTCAGGGGTCACATTTTCAATAAAATGTTCCTTAGGCTGTGCATGCGGTGCTGGTCCACTTTACAGTGCAACCAACTCCGGCACTTTGTGATCTAGAGTTTGCTGGGGTTTTGTTTTGCTCTTGTTTTTTTGAGACAAAGTCTAGCTATGCAGTTCAGGCAGGCCTTGAACCTGCCCCTATAGCTCACACTGGCCTGCAGTCACTGAGATCCTCCTGCCTCAGTTTCCCAAATGCTGGATTTATAGCAATGCACCACCATGCCTGGCCTGGAGTTTGCTTTAGACTTTTAGAGTTCTGTCTGGTCTCTGGCAAATATTCTCGGCCACAAGTAATGAAGAGGTGGGCCCACGGCATAAGCTGCTCACTATGACTGTGGCCAGCTCATCAATGCCTGGAGGAACAGATGCGTGGTGCCCTCGTTGTGGTCTCACGCAGTCTATGTTCTCAGTTGCAGGCATCTCCTTTACTTAAAACCTGGGTTTGGAGCTTAGGTCCAATGGGGCCTCTGGGGACCTGTTTCCCTTTTTGCTCATGGCTGTTACAAAAGTGCAACCTGCAGCCCAGTGAGTCTGTTCCTACCAAGACGCTGACAGGAAAAGGACTTTTGCTTCTAGTAGCTTTCAACAGCTCTTATTTTTAATATGCACAAGAGCAATTGGCACAAATCTGTAGACACATTTTTAAAACTAGCAATTTTGACTCTCTGCATGCAAAGTCTGGAAAATCGCATTGCTTTCCATTTGAAACCAAAGCTGGCATTGTCTCGAGTGGGCCTCTCTAAAGCCATTTACTCTTGGAGGACACTGGTATTTTGCAGAGCATTTTACCATTGAGCTTGGGTAGGTAGAGCTGCCTCTAGTGAAAGGAAGGGGAGGTACAGAGGACAGGGAGCTCATCAACTGCTTACTTTGCAGCGTTGATCAGATGGGTGGTGCCGTGGTCCCAACCCTGCACTGGGATTTCTATCACCATCAAATAATCCTTTAAGAGCTTGTCCTTCATCTCATTTTCAGGGTCTGTCAAAAAGTGGATTTTTAAATCTTCAAATCTTCCCCGGTCTCTGTTAACAAGGGGCACAGCTCGGATTTCTGAGGGGGGAAAAAACCAGCATGTAAGTAAAACATTACTTTCCCACAGGATGTTGAATACAAAGCTGTAGGTATATGTACAGTGATTAAATTCTGAAAACGCAGGCAGTGCATCTCAAAGAGTAGAAAAGCATCCTCTGCTCACAGTGAAGCCACTTGGGAAAACAAAGTACTCTGGACTCTAATATAAAGCCCATTGTTTCCCAGACACCCACAGAATGTTAACTGGCCAGTTTGCACCAGATTTTACTGGTTAAATGCCCACATTTCAGGGCCTGAGTTCAAGTCCTGATGATGTCACTATTAAGCTATGTGGCAGGAGATGGCTTATTTAACCTCTGCCAGGTTCATCTGCTGCAGCAGTAAAATGAGGCTCCCTATGTGCATGTCCCCAGGGGAGGCATGGAGGATGAATCCAAAGGAAATAATGTACCCTGAGCCCACGGCGCTGAGCATAGGGTCACCAGAACATAAGCCTGGGAGCCGACCTGATGGGCCCTGGCCTGCTTGGGGTGGCATAGCATAGAGGTCTCTTACGCCTTAATCTGTCCCGTACTAATAAGACTGGAGCCAGGGAGTACTTTCTTGTTCTACTCCACGGGTATGACATGTGTCTGCTCCTGAGACTACACCAACACTGCAGGCATATCATGAGCATCAGAACCTTTTGAGAAGATTTTACAGCACTTTAGTTTAGAGATGTTCAACTACTAAATTTAAATGTTTTAGGGGCTGGCCAAATAGCTCAGTGGATTAAAGCACCTACAAGCAGGCACAAGGGCTGGGAGGTTTGATCCCTGGTCCTGCCTTGCTGGTCCTGCCCCCGGGGTGCACTGAAATGGCAATTGAGACTGGGTATGGTGGCACAGGTCTGTAATCCCAGCTCTTGGGAGGATCACTATGAGTCCAATCTAGTAGTGAGACCCTGAACACCCTGTAGACCCTTCCCTCAAATACAAAATAATAATAATTTAAAAAAAATAAATATTTTAAAATCTGAAAAGCTCTAATGCAATCTGTAACCTGTCTTGACCCAAGCATTTGAGTTAAGGCACGCTCAAGCTCTACTAAGCAAATGACATAAGATATATTCCAACCAAATACTTACATAACAGATCCAACATACTTAAATGAGACTATCTTAATAAGGAGCAAAACAGTGAATCTTGATGCCCCAGTCTCTGACAGAACTTAGGAAGGTATACAGGTGCTGTTTTCTTACCAGGCCCGCTGTCCTTCAGGGTCACCAGAGGTACGAAGTGATGGCTGTCGTAGCCAAGGACAATGGGGTATCTGTAGCACTCCTGGGCGGGCCAGTGGAGAGGCAGGTAAATGCCACCCACTTTCAAAGGGGCAAAATTGGAACCTGATTCCAGACTTCTCAGCATTTTGTCTGCTCAAGGAAAGAAAAGGAAAAAGAAGGTTACCCTGTGACTTTCATCAAACGCCACCCAGCATGGTTCCATGCAACTTCAGGAACGAGGGCTTTTCCTAAGAGCCAGAGTACCACAGCTGGGAAGCGCGGGGAGGCAGGGGAATGAATGATCTGAGCGCATCTCACCTGCCACAACAATGATGGGCCTTCTGAGGATGTTGCAGAGGACAAATATGTGGATTTCCTCCAGCGAGCTGTACTGCAGCCCACAGCGGGCTGTCGGGGGTTCCGTGGATGCCATCCTGACGAGGTTGTCCCATTCGTCGTTCCAGTTCTAAGGGGGGAGAGGCCAGAGCGGAGATTGAACGCACCTGTGTTAGAAAGCCTTTCCAACAGCGCTCTGCTGCGTTTACAGAATTCGGCTTACTTTGCCCATTTTCTTAAATTCACCATTCAAATGGCCATCCTTTTCCCCTCATTCTGGTTTTTCTTCCTTTCAAAGCTTCCTTGGGGCAGCATGTGACAGGCAGTCAAAGAGAAAGGCAACAGAAAGGCCCATGGCATGGCCGCGGGCAGGGGGCCTGCTGCTAAAGAGCTCCAGAGCCAGAAGTCTGCTTCCGAGCAGTGTCTGGACACAGAAAGACTTGGGATGGTCCCATGGGAGGTTTCCGGGGTTTTCCATCAAGCATGCTTTGCTTGGCCCAGCCCATGTGACCTAGTCAGTCATCTGCTCCGCTGCAGGCAGGGATGGCTCAGAATACCCTCTACCCACATGGTGCTGTCCACAGATGCTTCCTGCAGGAACAGAACGTACCCGAGTATCGTAGCACAGCCCCGTCTCCACGAATTCCTGAGATTTCAGGGACTCGAGCTGCCAGCGGAACTTGAAGTTGCGTGTGTCTGTTTCCTTGAGAGTGCTGAAGAGGGCTTTCCTGAGGACCAGGTCTGTATCCTGGACACCCCACATGTACTGACAAGTGGCATGCATGAGGCAGTTGCCGTCACCTGAGGACAGAAGGAGCGATAAGGAGCTCTGTGTGGAAGGACCTGGAAGGTTTTCCCAGTTGCGAATGATGGCTGGGGCAGAGTCCAGAACCCACTGATAACATTTCCCCATGCAAGGCCACTGTAAGGAAAACATCACTTTTTCTCATGAGCGTAGGCACCAACAGGGCTGAGGAGCCAGAGGCCCTTGCTTCTAGCGCTGCTCTGCTCCTAACTGGCTCAGTGACCCCAGAGGACACTGATACAAGTCTCTGGGTAGTTTTTCTCTTTGTGAAATGAGGGCTCAGTAGTGAGAGTCTGCAGGCTGCCTCGGGAGCAGTCCTTGGTGCTAAGGCACCAGCACTATTGCTCCAAGCCAGAGCAGCCAGGGCAACGCGCACAAACCAGGAAGCAGGCTCAGCGTACTAGACAGAGACAGTTGGGCTATGACTCAGTGGTACATGACGGGACCGTTCCACTTGAGCTTGGGGACCTGGGATTTTCCTTTCCTGGTTTGTACCTACAGCCTGCCGGCCTGCCCCTGGCCCCATCAGAATGCATCATGGGAACCTGCTTGTGAGCAACTGTCTCATCCTTTGTAGAAGTTAAAAAGCACCCAGCTGCCAAAATTTTAAAATAATTCAGTGGTCAGAGCTGGCATTTTGAGAAAAAGACCAGTCAGTTTTCTTCCATTAACTTACGACTTTCCCAGGCTAAACCTCACAATTTGATAGGGCTTTTTTTCAACCCCCAAATAACAATCAACATTTGGGGGGAGGGTTGACTGTAGTAGAAAAAAATTAGCTTCTTAAATCTCATGTTCAAGTACGAAATAATTTTTATTTTTAAAAACTTAAACTGTTCTCTTACACTATTTTATACTAAGGCAATAAAGCTACTTGAAATGTTATCAAATTTAAATCATCATCAAACTGTAAAAAGCATTTTTAAGCATGCTCATATCCCTATCCACGGTCAGTATGCCTGCAATTTACACACTTAGAAAAGCTGCACTCACACAGATGAACAAAAAGATCGTTCAAGCCTTGTGCCTTGGCAGAAATGTAGCAATGACTGCACGCTGTTGAAATTTCCCCTTTGCAAAATCTAGAGCAAAGATAAGGCTTTTTTTTCGTCTTCTTGCGCTTACTTTCAGTTCTTTATTGAGATGCACCAGCATAAAATTCCCTAAGTAACATCTGGAATTCCCCAGTGCTAAGTTATTTGCCTAGCAATTGAGCAACAGCCATTGTACGTTTTGTTCTGGTGTGTAGACGTTTACACTGTGAGCTGCAGGCTGGACTTTCCAAGTGGGTGTGGTCAGGGTGAGCTGGAATAGGGCTACTCATTGTACAAGTGAAATCGCGGCAGCCAATAGACGATGGAATTTTTCACACAAAGTTTCAATTTTATGCGACCTGCCCCCTTCCTCATTCACCACAGTCTCATATCCTCAAATGCAAACTTGTGAATCACCCCCTCCCCAAAACAGAACACTGACTTTGAAGAAACCTTCCTATGGGGGAAAACATTAAAACAAAAAAGCACTAAAAATTATACCAGAAAAGCTGCTTCTTTTCTCCTTAAATATCTTGTCTTTCTTTTTTCCGAATTTTAAGAAATTTTCTTCCAGGTAGGAAAATCAGGATTTGGGGAATAAAAAAATCCCTATTTCCCAGGAAAAGTTACGAAAATACCCATGTCTTTGTAGCTGGAATCCTTGCTGATTTAAATGACATATGACTGCAAAGCAAATGTCTGTTCTGTATGTTCTTTTCTTAAGGAAACAAAGGGCCTCCCGCCTTAAGGAAATAGTGTGGAATGTGGGTGAATTCTGTTCACGACAATAAAGTTTCCCCATTTCTACCCTATTTCTAATTCTCTCAAACTTGACAGCCTCTTTTTTTGTAACAAAAAATGGGACAGAGTTGAAACCACAGACTGTCAGGTACATAAGCCCCCTAATGATGACGCAACATAATTATCTGCTTCTACGCATCACTTGAGTTAATGCCAAGAACAAGGCAGACAATAGCTCTCTCTCGTTTCCTTTGAACTTTTGTTTCTAAGACTCTAAGCTTCATAAATACAGGTAAGATGTTAAGGGGATGTACAAGAGCCCCTAGAATAAAAACAAACAAAAAAGCTCCACATCCACCAATCATTTTATGTTATTCAAGTCAAAAATAGCCAAAGCTAATGCACCAATTAAGCTATTAAGTTAATGTTCTTATCGTCATTATTGCCAGTGAGGATTTTCTGCTCTTGGAGGTATTATTTTGATCAGGATAGTTTAGTCACTCATGCAAAGACCTAAGATTGCAGCTCTTGCCTAGGTGATATGCATTTAACTGATGTTGTACAATCTACTTATTCTAATATCTACATCCACATAAAAAAGAGCAGAATTTTATATCTGCATGCGCCAGGATGTGCCTGGGTGTTTTGGTCTGTGCGCATCTATATTCTTGCTCAAAAGCAATGATTAAAATATAAAGCAATAAAGCTTGGAACAGCAAACAGCTATTAGTAGGATAGTGGTACAGGACCACAGGCAACGGAAGAGACAATCTCACATCCTTAGCAGCTCCAACCCATAACACGTACCACCCAAGAATTACAAGGACATCACAGTCATTTTCTAGGAATGGCGTGAAACAAGAACAACCTCGGTTTTCAGCACCATGTTTTCCTTTTGAACTTAAACCTTACAAAATAGCTCCATTACTGTGCCATGGAAGGGCATTTTACAGATGATTAAACAGCTGCAAGAATTAGAACCATTAATCACCTAACTGGGGCATGGTATTTAGAAAAACACAAGCCCCAAGCCTCAAAGCCCCGTGCAAAGGAATACACACATTTAGAAAATCCTCTTCCAGTAAAGTCACTGAATAAACTAGCTTCCATCCGCACCCTTCAGAGCTTGTACCCTACAATGGCTCTGGTGAGTGTCACTGAAACTTGATGAATGCGGAGGAGACTGCACCCCAGGAGCCCTCCAGACAATCAGAGCCAGTCTTACCCCAGTCTTACCGTTGGTTTTGAGTGCCACAAGCTTCCTGACTTCCCGACACCAGTTGAGCTTCTTCTGGCTTTCCAGGGAAGCCTGGATGTTTCTGTCAATGAGCGCTCTGTGGATGAGCTCCCGGAACTGGGGGCAAAACTGGCAAGTTCTGAACATCTCCAGGGTGCATCGGTGCATGGTTTTAAAATGATGAATGATCCCATTCGTAGGCTTGAAAATGTCTTCTGGAGTTCTCTCTCGAATCTTCACAGCTTTCCGCATGTTGCTCAAGTACAAAGCCTGAGGAAGGAGTTGTTCGGCCATGGTGTCTGCGATGCCTGGAGAGCAGGGAGAAGAATCACTCCGTTAACCTGCCTTTGATGTATACCTGCGGCAGGAAACCCTGCTGTTTGATCTTGTCATTGCCCTCATCTGTAGGCAAAGGATCTTAGTCACCTCTACTCCCCAGATACTAGCCGGCCCCAGAGATGAACTCACACTGGACTGTTTTAAGTTACATCACTTTTAAAGATCAGTCTAAGCAAGAGAAGGAAGGTGGAGGCTAGGGCTGAGGAGGAGGGGAATAACCCGAGTTTTCAGCAGCATCTGTCAGGGAGTCAAGCCTGTCTGGCAGTGGCAGGTCCCAGGCCACAAAACCACTGAAGCTCCCACAGAAGCTGTCTTCTGAGGCCACCCTGGAATGGCCACTGGGTTTCCAATGCACTGGATGCCAACTAAGGCCACCACAGAATCTGGATGAGCCCCCCACCACCACCACCATTCAATCCTTGTCTTGGGGCAGAGCGTGAATTCCTCTTTTAAACATCCCCTCCCTGTGCTGCTAGGATAGTGAATAATTTGGGAGAGATTCCACAACCTTATGCTATCACTTTGGCTACTGTTTGTTGTTTTCTATTCAGCCCCAAAATAAAGTGTAAAGAGTTTGTTTATGAAGTTTCTTATTTTTAGTTAAAACTGAGTCACCAACAAGCAAGCCTATTTCCAACAAGGTACAGTGTAGCTTTAAGAGTAAATGGGCAACATTTACTCAGAACCTTGAGAGTGAGAAACAGAACAGCAATAGGTCATCGGCTTCCACACTTCCAAGAGCAGATGTGGGAGCTCAATTATTTTGATGCATCTGTCAACCACATTTTAGTACTGCCCTGTAGGTACCAACATCAGGTGCATCTACAGACCATCCTTCAGCCTCAAATTGGCAAACACAATTTCAGCAGGTGGAGGAAATGAAAATCTGGAAACAGGGAAGAAGTTTCAGCCAGGAGGCACTCAGGTCAAATGAAAGCAGACTGTGGTCAAAGAACAGCATCTGTCACCCACTGATGTCCCCTGCGATCTGCCTTTGGTGGCTGCCTCACTATCTGCTCTTATTTTCAGGAACGCACAAAGTGTCCCCCTTAGGAAGTGTCCCAGCAATGGTTAATCCTCGCTCCTGCATCACACCATCTGCTGGAACAATCCACCAGGAAAGATGTCAAGCTACAAGGAGAAGAAATCTAGAACTTTGTAAAGCCATTCCGGTGGGTCTAGCTAGTCTCTCTTAAGTCACTGATAAGGTAGATTAAATTCTTGTGGCCCCTTGAAGGACAAGGCCCTTAAGGATCTGCATGGAGAAGCTTGGTCTCACTGCTGGGAGGGGCTCTGGGTCAGATGGTGATCCCTCCACTGACAGCAATTATTCCTTCCAGGTGGAACCAAGCAAAAGCAAATGAGGTCTAAGGACACAATGGTGAGACAAAAATATCACATGGGTGTGCTTTCTGATGCAGCAGAAGGCCTTGTCCTGACAGCATGGTCCATGCGCCCACCAAGTCACCCATTGAAACCCAATCACTGCTGCATGCTGGGCTGAAAGTCTGGCAGGCTTTTATTCCCCTACTGAAAATCACACAAGCGCCTTGGTCTGCACCTAGCGCATGGAGGTTCAGGTCCCGGGTAGCCCCACAACCATGTGGGGGCGGTGCTTCCCTCAGAGCCTGGGCTTCCAGCACCTGCCCCCTGCGGGTCCCAGAACACTCCACCTGTGGTGGCTACAGGGCTTGTAGCTTTCCAACACCAGCAGCAGAAAGATCCTACACACACTGCCCTGTCCTCTTTCAGCTTTTCTGACTTCTAATTTTCTTTTCCAGACCTAAAGATCTTTCAACAAAGATCTGAAGAGATGAGAGCTGTATACTGCATGCAAGACAGGTGACTATTCCACAGCTAGGTGCAAGCCCATCGCATGCTCTCTTGCTCCTCACAGCCTGGGACGCCAATGACCTCCTTAAAAACAAACCAACCCACAGCCCAAGTTTTCCAGTTCTTTGGACTTCTCCACGTTTGACATTAAAGAATATATTTTTTCTGACATACAACTGTACTGTCTTTACGGAGGAAAAATATAGAGTACTACCTTTAGCATTTCTTTTCCACATTTGTTACCTCACTGCCTTTAAAGATAATTTCCCAATTTTTGTCACTAGGATCAATAAGATTCTACACAACTTAGTCATCGTGGTCTTTCCCCCTTGTTTTATTTTTTTCCACTCTGAGCTGACATTTTTGTCTGCGATGTGGAAATTTATGAATTATTGATCAACAACACTGCAGCCAACTGGTGGGAAGTACCTCTCCCAAAAACTAGACCAAGAACTCCAGGGAATAGCCAAGGCCTGGCTGTTCCACAGTCTGAGATTTGAGGCTGCGGGGCACGGAGCTCACGAATACCAGTGATTGTCCCCCATTAGGAAAAGACAGGCAAAGGGGGCTGAACACAAAGCAGACTGAGAAAGAGCTGAGCTCCCGCTCATTTCACACCACTGCTTTCCTGAGAGCCAGGTAGCAGGATGTGGGACCCGGACAGAGTGCGCGGGGCAAAGACCCCTACTCCAACAATTCTCCTAACTGCTGCAGCTGGGAAGCCCAAGGCCCGGCCCGACCCAGCCCCTGCACAGCGCACCAGGCACACTGACGCCGTCCAGGGCCCCCGGCACCCTGAGGCTAGCTGCCTCCACGACACCCATCCTTGCTGGGCGGGTTCTGCACGATCTGGGAAGAAACCGCCGCGCTTTTGCAAGGTCTACGTGGCTACGAGCATGCAGCGCTCGATTTCAAATCCAAGGCGTGAAAAAGAACCAAAAAGAGCCCACAACCACCCGAGCAGGGCTCGGAGGGAGCGTGTCCTTCGAGCAGCCAGCTGCAGCCCAAGGTCCGGGGCTGTCACCCCGACATCTGCCTCAGCAACCTCAACTCCAGAACTTCAACACCCAGGCTGGGCACGAGCGAGCCACACGCTCCCCCACCCCCACCCGGGACGGCTGTGCAAAACCCACGCCTGCCCCGGCTCACCTCTCTGGGCAGCACGTTCCGCTCGCAGAGTTCGGGTCAGGGCCGACACACGAGGCCGGCGCGGTTCGGGATCCGGGTCGGGATCGGAGTGGGGGCCGGGTCGAGGCTGCACCCCATGGGCGCCCGAGCTCGGGCTGGCTGGCTCGGCCGGCGGCTGGGGGTGTGGATGCGTCCCGGCGGCCGCCGCTCCGCCCCCACAAGCTCCGCGCTCGCTCTCCGAGCTGCGCCGCTGCAGACTGTGCAGTTTCCTTCTCTGCCTCGCAGTTGTAGCCGCAGGTCCCCGGGGATTTCCACTAGGGACTTTCCAGTCACCTGACGGCGCGCCTGGAGCCCAGAGGCCGCCAGGGGGCGCGCGAGGC